TGTATCTCAGAAAAACTTCAAGGATAAGATAATAAATGTTAAGCTTACAATAATTTCCTTCTCCTACTTCAAAGCTCTTTCATGCATACAACCCTTTTGGTATCCACTACTCTGGGAATGTTAAGAAGTAAGGACAAAGATGAAAATTATCCACATTTTCTCTCCTCTGCTTTTAGCAGTGGAAGCAACAAACACCATTTCTTTAGAGCAGAGCACTCCAGAAGTTCAGCTGAGACTTCCTCATGTTTCCAAGTTCAGCCGCAAGCACTGTCAGGCAACACAGGCAAAGACTGTAATGAAGGGGCTAATGAGACACACAAAGAAACAAGAAGGTGCCACCCAGGCCAGCTATGAGATGAGGTTTTTAAAAAAAACAGAAATCCAAGAAAAGTAGTGACATTGACCTGAGCACAGCCAGCTCCAGGTAGCAGAGGTAAGGGAAGAGGGCAAAGCAGTCCACTTGGGAGAATGGAATGCCACCCAGGGCTGCTCACACTGCCTCCCCAGAGAGCAGACACGTCATTACTTTGCTTGGCATCAAGATAGAAGGTTAAAGGACTGCTCTCCTATGGATGGAGATCTTGTGTGTTATTTTGAGCATATTACCTCTAAGAAAACCTCCTCTGGGCCTCTGAGTTAAAAACCCTTCCCCGCTTCATATATATTTGGTTATAAACTTGTTTTGCAACTGGGATTTTCAATAAGACTTCATTTTCTTATGGGAGCCTAAACAAATGGCCTGGCACACAGTGGAAAGTCAGCAAAGGAATGGAGGAATGAAGGATGAACAGGCAGCAGGCTACTGACAGAAAGATCATAATGCCACTTTCCATGATTCCACGATTTTCCACATGCTTAGTGACATTTATGATGGCCTCTCTTTTCAAGCCTTTCTCTACTCAAACTCTACTTCTCCAGGAGAAACATCTAGGAGTGGTTATGGTTCAGTTCATCATTATAGCCCATAGCAAAAATTCCAACTATATGAATAAAAAGAAACTTCTTTGTGTAGCCTATACCCCAAAACCTCTTACTATATCTACTTAAGAACTTACTAGGCAGAAATAAAATCACCAAAACCTTCTAAAGAATCTGTACTGCCAAAATCGCCCAAGTTCTATGGTCCAGCCCGTTAGCTGCTCTCTTGTACACAAGAGCCCTAAGAAATGCTATCATTGAAACTGTCTTCACTTCTTTACTGCTCATGTCGCCTAAATCAAAAGAATTTAAGCATGAGAGGAACAAGATTCATTCACTTGACAAACAAACACACAGTGCCTAACAGGTGCCAGACGTGGTACTGAGGATTTGTCAGGGAATAAAATAAGGTCTCCATACTTGGAAGCTTATATCCTGTGGGAGAGACATGGGAGGAAAAGAAAAAAAACAGTAATCTTTAAATGAATATGCAAATTCATTAGCAACCGTGGTAAGAGCCATAAAGGAAACAAATAGATAATAAGAACAGAGTGCTACAGGTGGTCCCTTTTGAGAGGATAGTCTGAGAGATCCTCTCTAAGGTGGTGACACTTCAACTGAGACAAGCAGAGGCTCAAGGAGGTTTCCAGGCATAGGGAACAAGAGTGAAAGTCTATGGCAAGAAAGGGCTCCTGGAGTCTGGGGAGATAGCTCAGTGGTATAAGCGCCTGCCTCACAGGCACAAGGTCCTGAGTTTGATTCCCAGTATCACCAAAAAACAAAACAAAAAAAACAAAAAAAGGCTGCTGCTCCTTCCGAAGAACAAATTGGAGCTCCCTGATACAGTCAGATCTCTTTCCCCAGAGGCAGGAAGAATTACTGAAAAGAGGCTGGACATGTGGGGAGAAATCAGATTCTACAGGGGTTCGCAGGTCACGGAAAGGAACAGTAATAATATTCTTCGAAGACAGGGCTCTTAGCATAATATGAAATATGAATCAGAAGACTCAGGACACAGGTGAGACCTAATCATATAATAGCCATGTGACCACAGGAAAGACACCTCAGCACACACAGGCTGTTTCTGCACTTTATAGTATCTATGTACCTCTAAAAGTTGTTGTGAGGATCACACTGGATCCTACGCACAAGCATACTTTATATTCTGAAGTGTCAGGAGGTGAATACGGAAGGAAATAACCGCTAAAAGACCATACCTGGCAGAGCAGTGTGCTGGTGAACATCTTCGGTGCGAAGCATCCGCAAGAGCATCCAGGGAGTAAAGGGGAGAGAGCGGATTCAACTGTGGAGATAAAGAAGATTATTTCACCACGGCTTAATGGAAACAGAGCTGGTCCCAAGGGCAGCCTCTATTTGTTTCTCCTCTTTGTCCAACTCTTGTGTCTTACAGAACAGATGCCACTCAATGAAACGATGCACACTTAACAGATTGCCCTGAATGTACTTATTTGGTCTAGCAAACCTCAAAAAGATTCTACTACTTGCTAAAGCAACAGCTTTTCAAAAGCTTCTAACATACGATTATCACTTAAGTGGCAAAAGACAGTACTTCTCAATAAATGTAATACGAACTTATGCCTAATAAGTACAATGGAATATCAGCCCCTTTCCCCAAGAAGACCAGCATTAAAATTACCTCTTTATGCTCTTATTTTGTAAACATTTCAAAGGATAACTGGTTAGCACACTAAGCAGTATAGTGGTGAAACAAGACTAAAATCAGAATATTTAACTTTTAATCTCAACCTGCCAGTTACCCTGTATTGAAAATTAAATAATCTCAAGTTTTGCTATTCTCATCTGAAGACGCATGTACTATCTGTCTTAGCTATATTACAGGGTTATTCTGAAGACTGACTGAAACACTGCTTTCAGGTTGTAAAGTAATCTTAGCTTCCTATCTATGATGAGGAGACTCTGAGGGATTAGGGGTGTAGTTCAGTGGTAAAGCATGTGCTTAGCATGCACGAAACCCTGGGTTCAATCCCCAGCATCAAAGCACAAAAACAAAAAGGGGTTATAAACCTCAGATGGGATCCTATCTATATAAGCATCTCACTTTGTGCTTACTAGCTCTCTTTAGATTTTTCCTATAGTAATTCTTCCCCAAAAGTCTGTAACTGAAAGTGTTATGAGGCTGTAAGAACGTCAAATGGTAACTTATAAAGTACTTAAAGAGAATGTAAAAAGAAGGGAAAAAGTTTTAAGAAAAAAATGACCAAAGAAGGAAAACACAAAGCTCTTGCAAATGGGGATGGGGAGGATTTGAAGGGAAGATGCAGGAATGGAGACAAAAAGCCAAATCCTCCATGACGAATGCAATCACTATGTACACCTAAAATGTACCAGTGAAATCTGAGATTTAAAACAGAAAATGTAAACTATGCAACCTACATTTAAGCTCCAGACCCAGGTCCACCAGCCGTAACTTGGGGAGAATATTTTCAATGTTATGGGTCTCCAGCTCCTCACAGGTACGTAACAAATCTGGACTAGATGATGGCCAAGGTCCCCTTTGCTTTGGGGTCTTCTGACGCAAGCACGGCCAGTACTCTGGCTTAAGAGCCCCCAGGTGTAGTCTCTCCTGTGCACTCACAGCTGGGCCGGCCTACACTTGCAACACTGCTCACCTAGCAGTTTTCTTTATACCAATTATTTTACTCAGTCTTGCCTTACAGGTTTCCATGAAGTAATAACATTGTAATGATGTACATTATAATACAAAATTTAAAATTAAAATTGTACTTATATACCTTCACTGCTACATTTCATTTTAAAATGGTAACTTCACAATAAAACTTCCAAGTACAGATTGTGTATCAACTCAACAGGGTACTAAGTAGTTCCTAAAACAAACAGGAAGCCAGGGAGTTTTTATAGATCAGTCTTCTAACTCATTACCAAGATAAAGTGATCCTTATAGACTCCAAATTAAAAAGCTTCCAACATAAATTAGTATCACAGTAGCCACTACAAGTAATGTTTAAATCATGAAGCCTACACAAAAGGTTCAAACATGCCAAGGGCCCAGTCAGGAGGAGCTGGGGAAAACACTAAGACTGCAAAGCTCCTAGGCCTTGAGCCACCTGACCCAAAGCAACTCTACCTTCTTGGCTGCATGTCCAGCTGTGAGCTCAGGGCTCACAGCATGAGATTCTAATGTAGAACTCATTCTGATTTCTTACAACAGAGTTCAAATCTAAGGTAAAACAGGATTTCCTTATAATGTATTATACGAAACTGATAATCACAGTTGTACCAAAAAAGGAGTACTGCCTACAGATCTCATTTGTGAGTAACAGGGATTCTTAGAAAAGTCCTCTAAGAAAATCAGAGTAACATGAGGAGGGACCCTTACCTCATGTGCACGAGCAGAAATGTGAGGAAAGTCAGATGGCAATGCTTTATTCTTTCTAAAGAAAAGAAAATCAAATGATAAAGATGGCAAAAGTGAGCTTACCTGATTTCGTTCTCTTTTCCCAGCTGATGGTAACCACAAACTAAAGAGGAGAAAAATAATAGGAAAGAAAATAATAAAAGAGCAGAAAAATTAGAAAACAGAGAAGATTAAAAAGATTAAAAAATGGAATAATGAAGTGAAAATAAAGAAATGGAAAAGATGGAGTTGGAGAGAAAAAAGAGACATTAACTGAGAGCAATTAAATCTTCTTGCTGAGAGCAACTCTTGAAGGGGTGTAGCTTTACAATGGCATGTACATAACTGGCCGGGTAAGAACAAACCCAGAATTACATGTGACATGCGATTTCAGCGGTGCAGTTACACTGAAGAAGGATCTCAATGCTATAAGAGTAGCAAACTTATGTACATCTTTCCATTTTGTGAACTAAAACTCAGGCTGGACAGGATGTGCACAAGACCATAACTGGGTCCCGGCCTCGGTGTGCACAGACAGAACACCTGCCAGAGCCCACCACGTGAGGGGTCCAGGCTGTCATGGGAAAGGTCACAGTGATTCTCCTGCAGGTGCACTCAGGTTCTCCATTACACTCACCCCGGAAATTAGGACAAAAAGGAAAACAGGGCAATCACCAAGACAAAAAAGGACTAAAATTTAAGTCTACTGAGTTACTAACGTAATGCTTACAGATATGAAAGGCAAGAAAATAAAAACTAAAAGCAAAAAGCAAATCATTGCCCTAGTTTTAGGTTAGCCACCTGACTGTACAAATCTTTAAGATCCCTCCTTTAGCTGGGACAGCTGAGTAGAAGGTTGTTTTATGACCTCCCCCCTATGTCTCCAAGGAACGGGCCAGGACATCCGGCAAACACCTTACACTTACTCTTTCTGTCCGGGGTCACTGATGATATGGCTTATCCTCTCAGTACCCAGAGTACTTACACTGGTCTCCTAGAAACACAAGGTAGACAAGAGTACCATCAACCACAGAGGCAAAAATCTGTCACCTAGCTCACATGTCCCCCACATCATGCCAGTCCAAACAATGCAAATGTACATGACAAGCATCAATCTTAAAACCCAACAGCAACTACAGTTCTTTGTGGGAATCTACCTTAAAGGTATTACATGTCATCCTCATTATTCCTAATCCAAAAAAGGTCATTATAAATATTGTTTACTATACATCGTACTTTTAAATTTTAAATGAAATTTATGTTCTTCTTTTGTTTTTTTCAAGGTACAAGGAGATTGAACCCCATGGCCTTCTCACTGAGCTATGCCACCCTCTCAGCTCTTTTTATGTTTTATGTTAAGACAGGTCTCACTAAAGGGGCCAGGCAGGGGTCGAACTTACAGTCCTCCTGCTTCAGCCTCCCAAAGTGCTGAGATTACACACATGTGCCACCACATTTGGCTTAAAAGAAATTTATTTTTAATTGATACATAAAAACATAAAAAGTATACATGTCAATGGATACAATGTGATGTTCAATACATACATATTTCATATACTGTTTAAACTGTTAAACCTACTTCTCAAATATTGTTTCTTTAAATAGATATTTTAATACAGTGAGTATTATTTTCCAAGTCACATAAGCAAATACAAGTAGAAACACTTTTTTAGAAAATGAAATAGCAGCCAATGGGGGTGGAGATGTGGATGGGGACTGAGCCTGGACTGCTTTAATGCTGAGCTACATCCCAACCCCTTTTATTTTTTTAGACATGGGCTTACTACATTGCCTATATAGGACTCAAACTTCCAATTCTCCTGCCTCAGCCTCCCTTGGTGCTATGATTATGGGCATGCACCACCATGCCAGCCAACGGCAGCCAATTTTGTCAACTCAGCACATCGAGCTCCATCAGCTGTGTGACTGTGACCACAGAGGCCCTCAACCTGGGACACTGAGTCTTCCCCAGCAAAGCTGAAATACCTGCTGACCAAATGTCTACATGTCAAAGGACCTTTGTGGCTTACAAAAATTGTCACCCTGTATTGTGTCTTAAACATCACCTCAAAGTAAAACAGAAGTTCATATAAGCTGTTTAGTACATTCAGGGTGCTCAAGCTTGTAATGTTAAAGCCTACCCAAACACCATATGCAGTTCAGAAACTAATCATCTCCAAACAACTGGAAAGCGGCGGAAGACACTCACCCTTCATTTAACTTGTGTACATTAATAATGAGCATCTCTCACAGCACTTGAGAAAGCACACCAGCCCACACACGAGTAAGAATCACACAATAGGATCAAGGATTAAGATGAGAGAACATAAGTCAACGGCGTGAACGTCAAGAACGTCAAGCCTGCTACTTAAGCACATTTGTTTTTGAGCAAATGTTATTATCTGTATTCAACTGTGTACACATTAGCCTAGACATTAGTGTACACATTTTAGCAGAACCACTGGCTATAGACAAATTAATCTGAGGTTAGATTCTGGACAGGAATGGAACTAAATGAAAAGGCTTCACACACTGCATGCTTCATATTCCTCATCCCTTACGGCTATGCTTTCTGATTACAGACACAGAATGGTAGGGGGTCAAGGGAAAGGATGGATGAAAAATGAGTTATTTGTTACAGCAGAAAAATTATTAACTTAAAATGCCGTAATGTTTAAATTTACAGTTTATTACTGTGTAAATTACAAGCAGTACTTTGCGTAATTAGCAGCTTGCTGGCAGGGAGCTGTGAATGGAACTCATTATTTATGATTACAATTTGGAGAAAGAGAAGAGAAATGGGGGAGGGAAAAACATGAGGGCAGAGCAGTGACCTCTGCTAGAAATGACAAATATCCCTTTAAGGTGATGAAGATGAATTAAACAAGCAAATATTATTCTACACATGTGCAATCATTAGAGGCGTGTCCAATAGGCCTTCGCTCCCTTCCACATGCCAAAGGAAACCTTCAAACTAAACCTGCTTCCATGCAAGTACGAGGGAGAACATTGCCCAGCCTGACCAATCAAGTAGAAAAAGAAAACCATCTCTCCATGCCCACTTCTGAACTGCTTCCCTCGACACCATCCACGCCCATCCACCAGCTGTCCTATGAGTTAGCCTCCAGAATAACTGACTGTAAACTGAGACATCCAACAATCAAACAGCTTTATACTTGAACATTTGAATTGGAAGTTAAAGAAATACTCTGAGTTTGGAAATAAACAGTCTCACTTCTTTCCACACCTCAAACTTCAGGAAACAGTCTTCAACGAGGCTTCAACTGGACTGCGGCTGACATGACACACACAGGTTGCCAACTGTGCGCCATACTCTAAAGGCGTGGTGAGTGAGCAAGCAGTGTTTTCAGACACCATTCTTTCTTGCTCTTTGCCCATCACTATCTTTTTTGACTAGTAGGAGCCCCTGCCTTATGCTGCTTTTCCATCTCAAAACTACAGAAGGAAAAAAAGAACTTGAAGATAGACGAAGTAGCCCTAGGTTCAAATCTCTATCCTGCCATTCTGATCCCGGTATGATTAGTTAACTTCTGTGAGCCTAAGTTTTGCTCGGCTGCCACAGGGGACTGTCACGCTGAGCAAAGCAGTGGGGAGGAAGCGGTGAACTGAGTGCCTGGCACAGGCCCTGGCAAAGGAAGACCTGAGAAGCAGGGGCAACGCCTCCCTCCTGGCTAAGGAGAGGCTCTCAGAATTCAAAGAGAGGTTTTTCCCTATTGTTTTAAAATGAATTTTAGAATAAAAAAGCAAAAACAGGATAAAACAAAGACACATTCCTGAATTCAGATGGAGTCGTTAAAAAAAAACAACCCGTATTTTTACTTATACAATGCCGCAGGATTCAGTGAAAGTGCAGGAGAGACAGTAGGCTTATGAACTGATGCACAACAGGCTGTAATGACTGTTTATCAGAACGCTGTGAATTAAGTTTTTTATGTAATGTGTGCATTCATTCAAATCCTACAAAATGTTTCTTCATGTGAACTCCCAAAACATTCCAGTTGGTTGCATTAACTCCTGGGAGCTCTCTAGGACCTCTGATTGTCAACAGGGCACACAACCCCACAGGCAATATCATCTTCCTATGGCGCCTCAGAAACCATGAGAGCTGTCACCTTCCCAGCCAGCCTTCTTCGCCCCTTTCTGAGGCATCGAGCTGCAGCGCCTGGTAGACGATTCAAGCGAGCATGGTATCCTAAAAACAGAAGGCCTCAGTTACTGAATGCAGAACACTGACAAGCAGTCAAGTGCTTCTGGGACACTAGAGCCCTTAGCCCTCGGACCTTTATAGGGGTATCTTCTCCCATCTCTTTATCACTAAGGAATAAACTTAAGCAGGCCATTCGCCTTTGCTTGGGCATCCTCATCTGTAAGGGATCATCACTTGCTCACTCTTACCTCAGGAGCTGTTTCAAAGACCCAGTGAAAGCACAATAGGAGGTACTTTGTAAACTAGAAACACCATGTGAATATAAGGTATTATTAACAATTTGTAGGACTGGTCAGATAGCTCAGCAGACTACAGTGCCTGCTTAGGCAGAACACAGCAGCCAGGGTTCACTCCCCAAGTGCTGTGCCGGCCCTGCCCCCGGGGCATGTTGAGACTGCAATTGAGACCAGGCATAGTGGTGCGCGACTGTAATCCCAGTACTTGGAAGACTGAAAACAGGAGGATCATTATGAGTCCGATCTGTGTAGTGGGACCTTGCAGACTCTATACTAAATACATAAAAAAAAATAGAAACAAAAATTAGTTTTATATGTATATGCTGGTGAAATGATAAAAAGAAAATACAGAGTATAACACCATTTTTCTTTTTCTTTTTTTAATTTTATTTATTTATTTATATGTGTATGTGTGTGGCCAGCTCAGCCCACCAGGGGGCGGGGCTGGCCGGCATGTGGTGCTGGGGGATTGAACCGCGGTCCCTGTGCTTTGCTAAGCTTGTTCTAAGTAGGTGCTTTAGACCACTGAGCCATCTCACCAGCCCATAACACCATTTTTCTAACTCCTTTATGTGTCCCACATACAGAAAGAACAGCTGAAAGAATCCACATAAAAACCTTATCAATGGGCTGGGGAGACAGCTCAGTAGAATAAATGCCTGCCTGGCAAGCGCAGGGTCCTGAGTTCAATCCCTGGTATCACAAAAAAAAAAAAAAAAAAAAATCAATAATAAGGTCTCTGGATTAGATCACAGGCCATTTGAAGTCTCTTCTTGCTAGTCTTGCTTATGTGTTTATTTTAAGTGATCCATAAAGGGCTTACAGAAATGCTCATTGAAATGTTTGATAAAAGTTACCAAGGTAGCAAAAAATGTGAGCTTGGGGTGAAGTTTAGTGGTAAAGTGCTTGTCTAGCACCCACAAGGCCCAGAGTTCAATTCCTAATTGAATTGAACTTTTTAAATTTCATTTAAAAAAAAAAAAAAAAAGACTCAGCCAGGCAGTATTCTTTATTGAGAACCAAATGTTTTGAGAAAGCCCTATCAACACACAAAAATCAAACAAAACCCTACAGAATAGGAGCTCAGAGCTTAACATAATTCTGACCACCTTTCTTTCTTTTTTTTTTTTTTTTTTGGTGGAACCAGGGATTGAACTCAGGCCCCTGCACTTGCCAGGCAAGTGCTTATTCCACTGAGCCACCTCCCCGGCCCACTGACCACCTTTCTTAACAACTGTATTATAAATTTATAGAGCTAATGAAGGCCATTAAATGTTACATATCTTAAATGATGACCCTGACCTCTCAAGGAAATAAATAAGGTGACTTAGTGAAAGGGTATGTACTTGTGTTAAAGTATGCAATAATATAATCATTAAAATAAAAATATTTTTTAAAGTATTTTTAAATCATCTATCTAGAAAATGCCATTATATCTTGCATATGAATGTGCTTACTGAACTCTACTCTTTTTCCAAGAGAGAGTTTTTGGGCTTCCAATGAACACTTAGTGGCCCACCAGTTTTACATCAAGATAAGCAGTGTGACACCATACTAGCCTTTCTAAATCTGGCACAAAAGGCAATGACAAGCTGAAGAGATGTCACACTAATATATGCCTGAAGAGTCTCCATGGACTGACGAGGTAGGAACAGTCAGAACTTCCAACACTGAAACTCACCTTGAGATCCTGGCCTGCATGCCTCATTGGGCTGTTTGGAAGCTCGGAAAGGCTCGCCATCAGTGCTCTAGGAAATCCCTGGCTGGGGATATACAGATAGTAATACATGCCCAGAGGCATGAGCATGCTTGAGAATGACTTGATTCTTGCCAAAGAACCATAAAAGCATGAACTATATTTCAGTGTCTTCGAAACTCACCTCTCTGAGCTGGCCGAGAAGGTAAAAGGAAGGTAGAATCTGAAAGCTTATCCAGTCCGGATTCCATTCTCTCTACTTCAGCACAATGATCAGGAGCCCATGTGGGCAGAAGATTGGGAACAGTGAAGCCCGGGACACATTCCCCTTCATAGAACCAATCGCTCTGCTCATCATCCCCTAAACCAAACAGATCATAGTATACGCTGGAATTTTAACATAAAATGAGAAAAACCAAACAGGAGGATCATTTCTCAATGATATCATTCTGCCTACATTTTAATTACACAAAAGTAGCAAAAAACTGTTCAGCTTCTTCTTGATATACATTACGATGAAAAGTTGGGACAACACACTAGTTTCACATGCATATCATACTGTTAGAATACACTATTTAATAAGGCTACCAATTACTGAACTCACTGGACCCAGGCTAAAAGTCTATGAATATGTTATTTCAATGCCCTGCACTAATTCCAGTTTACAATGAGGCAACTAATAGTCAGTGAAGTCAAGGTTAAGTTGGTAAATGATAGTTAGAACCTGAACCAAAGCATCACTGACCTGAGGTCTTTTCTGCAAAAAATAAATGGCCTGTTATCAATCTCATCAGTGTAGGTGAACTTAGGGCTCCAAAACTATAGATGTTCCTTATTTCAAAACTAGTTACTCTTAAGGGCTTTTTTCCCCCCCTATATTCAAATTTCTCATAGAAAGTGAATGAAAGCCAGGCATGGTGGTGCCTGCCTATGATCTCAGCACTCCAGGAGGTTCATGCAGGTGACTGTAAAGTTGGACAATTAGTGATTTAGCAAGGGCAATTTGGTGACTTAGTAAGATTTTGTCTCAAAACTTAAAGTGTAAGGGGTTGGGGAAATAGCTCAGTAGAATAAGTGCTTGCTTAGCAAGTGCAAGGGCCTGAGTTCAATCCCCAGTTCCACAATAAATAAATAAATAAATAAATAAATAAATAAATAAAAGTATAACAAAAGTGCTGAGGACAGAGTTCACTGAAAAGGTCCTAGATTCAATTCTTAGTAACACACAGGAAAAGTAAGGGCTATCAGTCACAATCTTTTCAAGAAACATGCGAACTGAAATAGGATAACTGAGGATATTTTGTAAGTGACAAATGCACAGAGGTATTGGACAAAAAAAAAAAAAACAAGAAATGCTGAGGCACAAAACCAACACAGCAGGCAGTTTTGACCAGAGCTAAACCTGACATAGGAAAAGAATGGTTATCAGAGCCCAGAGAAAGAACTTCACTGGTGGGTAAGGTCTACCAAACAGAAGGAGCAGTTTTCAACAGAGAAATAAAATGACTATCAACAGGCAATTTAGTAGAAGGGGAGCCATGGCAAGCTACAATCCAATGTCCTCAGGACTTCCCTATAATGGAATAATTCATCCACATCCTTGCCCTTTGCCACTAGGCACAGTGCCTTCGTTCTCCATTAGATAGCGCATACTTCCTCATCCTAGTGACACATGGCTTGGTCATATGATTTGCTGAAAGTAGCAGAACATTAGCAGATGTGATTCAAAGACTTAAATATTTATGTGTGGTCTGACTTGGTCACTAGGTATTTATGTCTTCCAGGAAGAGAATTCCATCCTGCATAGAGTCATTGCTTCTTCAGCCTAAAAAAGATGCAAGGAGTAGATAAAACTTGAAGTGCAGAGACCAGCTGAACCCAGGCAAGAGCAGCTGAACTACAGCCAACCCACAACCCTGTGGCAAGAAATAAATGTGGTCAACCACCGAAATTGTAAGGTTAGTAAGTAGCATTATCATAATTAAAAATCTGACTAATATAACCACTCATTCATTTCTCTCCAGTCTTCTGCTGAGGCCTCCTATTGGGCAAATCCAACAAAAAATTGTGAGCAAAACAAAATCCATTGACAAGTCCATTAACATGCCCAGGAGGGGCAGAAGAAGGAAGACCTGTGCCAGGAAATCAAGGAAAAGTAAGGACAAGATTTCAGATAGAGACCAGCATGAACAAAGTATGGAGAAAGAAAACAGCATTGCTTTGTGCTGAGAATGTTAAGCATCTAAATATCACTAACAGCATAAAGGTGAAGATAGAGCAAAAAAAGAGAGTTAAGGCTACAGACTATTCTATCATCTTTATGTATCTGCTATAGGGTCTAACTACGCAGCTCAGACTCGTAGTGATGCTCCTGTCTGTCTCCTCAGTGCTGGGATTGCAGGTGTGTGCCCCCATGCCCAGTGTCAGTGGCTGGACAAGCACGCCTGGGGTTCTGAGGCCTGGGAATCAAACCCAGGTCCTTGCGCTTGCCAGGCAGGCACTTAGACCACTAAGCTATCTCTCCAGCCTTTCACACTTTCTTAAAACTCTTAATAATCATGCATCACAACCTTTAAAAAATAGTAGAATCAAAGAAAAAGGGCAAACATTAGTAACTAAAGAGTACACACCAGAGCATTTGTGTTAGACAACTAGCCTTTCTTAGCATGAAATAACAGAATCAAGACCCTAGCTTGAAGAGTCTTATCTGCACATCCTCAGCCTCTAATGATACCTAATTCTCTCAGAATCACAGAGGAAAAATGTACTCAAAATAGCCTCCATTATAGGAGGAAGCACAATGACGCCATGCTGATGAAGCTGTCTCCATGCCTACAACTCAGAGAGGTGGCTGAGATACCCCCTCATAGTTCCTTTCCAGAGGACCTGGATGGTTGAATTACTAGGAGCCTAACTAAACTGACCTAGACATGTGGCACTATGTGCTGCTGTGCCTTTATTCTTTAACCACTTACCCCTTGCAGAAAAATTATTGGATTTCAGCACTAGAAGGGACTTCAGAGATCTACAAATTCCTTATGTAGATTAAGAAAACTGTAATCTGAAAAGGATGCGTGAAATTCTTATCGGTGCACAATACAAATGCCTTTAAACCAAAATGTCTTTATACCAAAAGTAAAGAGCTAGTAATTAAGTTACATTACCTTTATTCACAGGGCTTTATATTAATTTCCAGAAATTTTAAATTGAGAAAGAAGACATTTTATATAAAATATTCAGCCAGAACATTATAATCATTTACAAATAAAGTAAAATTCTTCCTCTATAAAAATACTTTATACAAAAAAAAAAAAAAAAATAGTGCATGAGACTATTCCATGGTTCCAAGAAAAAATATTCTCAAAGTCTCAGCCTTGACACTTTAAGCCCCTAGACCAATGACGACAAACCCGTGACATGTGTCACAGCTGTTTTCAATGAAAGCTCTAAAAGGTTCTTCATCACTACCCAAGACCAATGAGTCTCAAAATAGGAGTGACCTGCATAAGAATCATTTTAGAGACCTGGGAAAAATGCAGCTTCAGGAGCCAATTCTAGGCCTATCTGCTTTCTAGGAGCTCATGAATTTGTAGTGCTCCTAGTTTCCCACATGGCTCACAGGTGTTCTACAGATTAAGAACCGACAGAGACAAGGCACTATATTCTTAATCAGTCACTCCTATGACCACCAGAATCTTCCCATAAACAAGGACTCAATGGTCCAAAGTGGGCTGGAGATTACCTTGGCGTCCTTCATCGTTGGTGAAGAGCCCAGCATCGCTGCTGCTACACACGCTGCTGGTTTCGCTGAAAAAGAGAGATGCACAGAACTCATCAATCACAGCCAAAGGTCGCTGAGCATTCTTTTGATCTTCCACTGCAAAGACCCCAAGGTTCCTTAATTCCATTCTAGTCTATTAGGCAACCAGATACGTAAATTTCATAAGGAAACTACAAGTGAAGTTTATTTCCCCCAGACAATAAAAAAATATATATACAAAGAAGAGAATGCTAAAAAATTTACTTATATTTCAAAGTACTTTCAAAATAACTAAGTTGGGGTCAGGAAGATTGTGCAGCGGCATAAATGCCTGCTTGGCAAGTACAAGGTCCTGAGTTCAATCCCTGGTCCTGGGGGGTGGGGAGGGAAGAAAGAAAATGCATGAACCAGTAACGGGCGTCCATCATCGAGTATCAGAATAACTAAGTTGTTTTCTTAGTTTAAGATCCTAAGATATCTATTAAGGCTCATGTAAATAACTTCAACTGGTTTGATATATTAATAATGTAAATGTACGATTTACCAGCCAACTTTTTTTCCAATTTTATTTTTAAGTATTGCCAACTACCAGTTTCAAATGAAACTATGCAACTTTAGGACATCTAGCATCTTTTGAATTTTCTTGTATTTATAAAGCAGCAACAAAAACCCATGAACAGAAAAACTAATATATCAAAAGTTGTAGTTTCTAAAATTTAATGTTAATTCAAAACTCTTTCTGAAAGGAGTTAGGGTGAAAATGAAAACATAAAACAAATTTCATTTGGACTCAGTGAAATAAAACACCCTAAAAACTGATTCCACTGCTTCTTGTGCTGTTTCTTCTACCTGCTCTTCATCAAATGTAACTGATTTAAGAAAATTTTCTCTGTCCTTTATAACATCAGCATTTCCTTGATTGGGAGTACTTCCCTCCAAGCTATTCATTTTTATTTATTTATTTATTTTTTAATCTACCCTAGAAGATGGAAGAAATCAAAGGAAGGAAAAAAGATTTTCACTAAGCTACAAAAGGAACAAGATTGGTAAAACCCCCACCTACATTCCTGGATCAAAATTCTGAAAATATATTTTGCAACATTTCTAGGTATCTTGCCAACACTAACACTTCAAATGCTGAATAACTTAGTAACAATTTTTTCCTCAATCAAGCTTACCTCTAAATAACGGATACAAGAGATCCCTCACTACAAAGACCATCAAAATATACTATATTTCTCTGCAGGTTCTTTCCTTTTATTTTCTTATGTAGAGAAGACACTCAGGGGTCATTCTAAGCAATGTATCAAGAAACTCTCCCGCTAGAATCTTCAAAAGTCCTGTGGTGAAATCCAAAAGACACCCTCTCCAAGTACTGCACACTGAGTTTAAGGCACTATATCCGCCACCCTTAACAGTGTAACTTCTGTATTTTAAGCAGATCTGAAGAACACTGATACACTAATACCATTCATCCTAATATAACAACCATCTCTCATGTTACAACCTCATTATTCTCCTCCCACTTCAACTATAAAGCAAAACTTACACTTTCTTTTGATATTAAGAAAAGACACAAAGCAAATTAGCACATGGGACAGATTCTACCCCACCAGCATGTCATGCTTTACTGAGACTCAGGTGTATGTCCTGTTTTTGCATGACCTGCAGAGTTAAGTTTCCAACAGGTTTAAGTTTTTGGGGAGGGATCAAAACATGAACACTTTACGTCTGAACTACAGAGTGGCAGTGGTTTTGGCAGCTTTGGGGTGGTAAGGATCAATCCCTGTCCATGCCTGGCTTTTAGTGCTACCTATTATCTTTTTTTTTTTTTTTTTCCAGAACTGGGGATTGAACTCAGGCCCTTGTGCTTGCCAGGGAAGTGCTTATTCCACTGAGCCATCTCCCTGGCCCTTAAAGTTTTTAATGTATTTAGGACAGGGTCTACAGGGTCTCACTACGTGGATCAGACTTGTGATTCTCCTGTGTTCAGCCTCCCAAGTGCTGGGATTACAGGTACACATGACCATGCCCAGTCTCAAATGCTGTCTCAGCATGCCCCGCCGGCACTGCACACTGGGGATCGAATCCTGGCCACTGCACTCTGCCTAAACAGGCGCTTTAGTCTGCTGAGCTATCTGGCTGGCTGCCTATCCACTTTTTTGACCTGGGAACCAAATTAATCAGTTAGTTAAAAACTTAAAAAAAAAAAAAAAAAATTAACTTCTGGGCTAAGCATGGTGGTAGGCACACGCCTGTAATCCCAGCACTCAGAAGGCTAAGGCACAAGGATCACTGGGAGACCAGCCTGAGCTACAAAGTGAGCTCAAGGCCAGCCTGAACTGCATAGCGAGACCCTAGCTCAAAAACACCAAAAAAAAAAAAAAAAAAAAAAAAAAAAAAAAAACCTTTTGAAATAGAGGGTAGGATTTCACCCTGAATGAAAACTTTGAGGGGCCAGGGAGATAGCTCAGTGGAATAAGTGCTTGCCTGGCAAGCACAAGGTCCTGAGTTCAATCCCCTGTACTGTGAAAGAAAGAAAGAAAGAAAGAAAGAAAGAAAGAAAGAAAGAAAGAAAGAAAGAAAGAAAGAAAGAAAACAAACTTTGGGACTGATATGTGGTTTGCTTGATAACTATTTCCATTTTGAAAAACCTTTCCCTGGTAAACTTTCTTGTAAGATATGAAATTGCCAACACATACTTGTCTTATGTGAGATTCTGTTCTAGTATTTTTACAATGCTCGTAGCTACTGTGGAAGTTATGCAATGGCTTCTCTGGAAATGCACACATACTTGAAAATTAACCATTAAATAAGTCAGTACGCTGTGATAATGTTGAATTAAACACACACAGTTGTCTCTGTATCCACAAGTTCTACATCTTCAGATTTAACCAACCCACACTGGTTGAAAAAACTGCATTTGTAATGAAAATGCACAGACTATTTTTCTTGTCATTATTGCTTAAAATATAGTATATAAAGTACATAGCAAAAAAAAAAATGAACATTTTGTAACATTTGAAAATGGTATGAAATTCAAATCAGTGTAAGTACAGTTTCACTGGAACATGGTCACGCTTACTCGCTGACACAGACCTATGGCTTCTTTACTCTCAACCGCACAGGTGAGCAGCTGTGGTGGAGACTGCATGGCCCACAAAGCCCTAGAACATGTACCACCTATCCCTTTACAGACAAACTTTGTGGGTCCTTATTCTGAGCGTTACAAGCTCTGCTCTGCAATGACTACAGTCTCCTGTTTGAATGTTTCCAGTTTAAAATTTAAACAGTTGTTTTATCATGAATCAATTCTCTACCCTATTCGTTTCCAGCCAGCTGTAAGCACTACATCACAGTGCTTACATGATCTGTTTTATACAGAATCCATTGTCCCCTAATACCTCACAGGTTTTTTCGCAGTATTGGTGATCAACTCAGGACCTTGCGCTTGCCAGGTAGTTGCTTATGCCACTGAGCTACCTCCCTGGCCCTACTCCTAATATTTTAAATAAAAGGCGCAGTTTCACAGAGTATCTGCTGGATCAGGAAAGGTGACAGTACCTTCTCAAGGTATTCTTTCTATTGTTTTATTAACAGCATTTCCCAAGAACAAATGAACTTGAAAGAGCTTTGGAACTTATCTGGCACACACCTTTAATCCCAGCACTCTGGGAGGATGAGGGAGGAGGATAACAAGTTCAAGACCAGCCTGGGCTGCTAAGATCCTGTATCAAACAAAAAGTAAAAAATGCCACGGGATGTAATTTAGTGTGAATGCCCTGGGTTCAACCCTAGTACTGCTAAGCCAACCAACCAATGGCCCATTTCCTATACATACTTATTCAAGTAATAAAAGGACATCATGGAAATATCCTCAGACATTTAAGACTATAATCAAGGGAGATAGGGATTTTTTTTTCATAAAAAGTCATGTCTATCTGGGTGTGGTGGTATGCATGCCTGTAATCACAGCACTCATGAGGTTGAGGTAGGAGGATTACTGTGAGTATGGGGCCAAGATGGACTTCACAGTAAGAACCTGTCTCAAAAAAAAAAAGTTCAAAGAACACTTCATAATACAAGTATCATCAATTTCACCAGGATCTAGAAACATTATCTGATAAAATTTGTTAATTCTCTTTCTTCTCTCAGAATAACTTGTGAAAATGTAATCATATTAAGTGCCTGCTTAGGCAAGCACAGGGACGGGAGGGGGGGTTCGATCCCTGTTACCACATGCTGCACTGGCCCTATTCCTGGGCACACCAAGCGGGTCACTGAGTCCAGGCGTGGTCACATATGCCTTCAATCCCAGTGTTGGGGACACTGAAAACAGGAGGATCATTATAGTCCGAGTTGTGCAGTGAGACCTTGTACCCCCCCAAAAAAAGTTTCTAGCACAATTTGCTAGGAAAGATAAAGGGGGAACTTCAAGGCATGTTTGCACATAAATACCATTATACACTTCGTAAAAACATAGTGCTAGCTAGAAACAAAAGCAAAATTCCCTTTCTGAATTACTGCACAAACTGCTCCAGATCTGTAGCCCTTATTCACTCTGGCTCACAGACTACGATTTTTTTTTCCCATTTATATCTGTAGGATTTTAGTAATGATTCTGTCAAATGCAAAATGTTAATGTATAGCTAACAGGGTCTCACAACACAGTTCAGACTTAGTGAGCCTCTTGTTTTCCACCTCTCCAGTGCTGGGATTACAGGTGTGCGCCACCACACCCAGACTCAGTGGCTGGCTCAGCGTGCCCTGGAGACAGGGGATCAAACCCTACTCCTGTGCTTGCCAAAGCCTGTGCTTGGCCCTCAATAGAGAATCTACTTTTAGTACCTTTGTAGATCACAAGTCTAAGTTAAAAGATATCAGGCTCTCCCATGTTTTCCTATTCATAAACCTTCAAATTTGCTTGTAATTATTTTGTTATGAGGTTTTTTTAATAAGAAAAAAACTGAGCCTACCTATAATGCCCATCCCATTTGTGGATGTCTACAGCTTAGTCAGAAGAGAAAAACCCAGCCTTTATGAATCT